TTATTGTTTATCTTTTGTTTATGAGGCAGTATTCAAGTTTAATTACTACTCTAAATTAAACTCTAACTGGCATCAGGAGACATCCCTTTACATGACTAAGTTAAAAAAAAAAATCTAGAAATCCCAACTCTGAGTTTTTCAAGTAAGTTGATACATATAGGAAGAAATTACTCAAAATTAACAGCAATTATAGAAAGCTTTTAAGCATTTATGGGCACTATTACATGCTCCTAGAGCATTTATTTATTAGAAGAGCTTAATTTTATTTCTAATGGTTACTATTCTAAAAAGTCCCGAGAAAATCAATAGAAATTATTTGGATGTTTGCTGATAGCTAAAGGATGATATTCTTTTGACTTTATTGGGGGGGGGGTGGAGCGGCAAGGAAAAAAATGCAACATAAATATTCTATATACAACAGCTTCTTCTGTGGGAATGTACAATTATCAATTACATTCTCCGAGAATTTTTTTTTTATACAATTAGGAAGACAGAAAGGAAAAGAAATGGCATTTAATTATCATAACAGTGAATGACCAGTTTTGGATGAACTTAGCTCTAGGAAAAATAAAAGTTAAAAGCAACTAGCAAAAGATTATGCCAGATGGCATCTGTCATATTGTATTTAGGGTTATTTTAAAGAAATTGCCACCACTATGAAAACATTCCATTGACAGAGTTTTCCTAGACTGAATAAGAAATCCCAGTAGAACATATTCAGGATCCACCGTAGATAGGGTGGAAGTTTTTCTCCCTCCTTTAAATGTATAATTGGAATATTCTGGTGGGGGAGAAATCTATTTCATACCGATAGTATGCATTATAAACTCAAAAGTATAATACTATTTTAGATGCTTGCTGACCTATAAACACATTCAATATAAAGGGGTATTTTTAGATTTCAACACCATGACTGGTAAAGAACTGTATAATACATAAATAAATATCTAGCTATGAAATAATAGTCTTATTGCCTGGATCATAGTTGGGGACATCAATGGAAGGATTTGGTAGGTGGCAGAGTTGAGGGGAATTATGCTGGCTTGTGCAGCCTTGTGTCCTGAAAGAGTAGAGACATATAGATGCTAGTATGCTAATGTATTTAGGTTAAACTGGGTCTGGCAACAGTATGGTTAACGTGTGTGTGGTGTGCAGTGTGAGCTCAGCAGTTACTGGGCCAACTGTCTCGGTATTTCTGGGAATCCTGCCTATTCACAGTGCAGGGATTGTTCAATTGCTGCAAAATGTACAAAATGAATTTTACAAAAATGAATTGTAAGGAAGGCCCCATTACAACGATTTTACAGCAAAGATGTCAACATCAATTTTTCTTTCATGCATAGCTAATGATTAAAACAGCATATTCCATTTGCCTAAGACAATTTATTTCATATTGGCACATCAAAATATTGAAATACAAAGTTATCTTTACTCTACCCTTTTTATTCATTGCTGCTGAACCCATACCATTGTTCAAACCAGGAAAAATAAAACAAACTTGGCACAAAATACTTAAAACAAAGGCTCATCAATATTCTCCAATTTGTCAACATCTCAATTACAGCACTGGAAAAAATGTAAATTTCATGTGCTCTAAACACTGAGGGGTCTATTCTCTTGCCAATTCACATGCGTAACTCCCATCAGCGTTAATGGGAGTTACACAAACCCATCAATAATAATAATACTTTGTACATATATTGTGCCTTTCATCTAAGGCTCTCAAAGTGCTCTATGAACAAGGGGGCTGCTTCCTAGTCTTTACTCTGGCAAAATACACAATGAAATACAAAGCAGCTTTTGACTCAGCAGGTACAGAATAGGGACCCCAAGCCTTATTATCAAGCCCCATTTTACTGATGGGAAGCCAGACACAAAGAGGGCCAGTTACTGCCCCAGAGTCCCCAGTCTGTACCCTAATTCTATCCCTGAAAAACCAGATTTCTTTCTTCATTCTAATGTGACTAACAAGACAAACTCCCTCCCTTTGGCTGCTTTTAGCAAAAGAAATCAGAGTGAATGAAAATCTGGTTCATATTTATATAGTTTACTGCTAGGCATGTGCTGTTTGAAAGATATAGTAAAGTCAGGTTTTACATTTTACCAAGTTTGTTTCTTAAAATATTTCTAAAATTTGATTTTTTCCCCCTCTATTTGGTTTGTTGTACAAACACTACAGACGAAAAGATGACCTTTCACCTGTGTAACTGTAGCTCTTTCACTATCAAGTCATAAAATGAAGTATTTTTAGATTCCAAAGTAAAGATGTGTATGAATCATTTTAGTAAAGATATTCACAAAAAATATAAAGCAACATAAATGCATGTATTGTTTTATAGCATATGGCTATTAAAGTTTAATTTAAAATGTGTATGAAAACATTGTATTTAGTACAATTCATCCCTATTTTTTCTGTTTATCATAATTTGTTTTGAAACTGAGTCGTTTTACAGTTTTCCATATGCCTGTTGTGCTAATAAATTCTGAATACGCAAGAAAACTCTTTTCTAAACTACAAACTTGGTTTCCAGTGAAACATTATAATATATTTAATACTAGGAACATAAATTTCCCTCCTAGGTTTCCCATTATACAGCAACCCTAAGATTTAACCTAGGATAAGCATATGTGATTTCAGTCAATATCTCTGTTGACTTTGCCCTGAAGCAGATAATTAATCTTTCCCACAGAAAGCTACTCTGGACAATTCAGTGGGCCAAATTTCAAAATACCTTAAATACACGTTTAAAAGACTAACATAGGCCTGAGTATGACAAAATGCATCAAGCCCGGCCTTCAAAATTTAGTCTGCTGTAACAAACAGAATACCCTCCAACATGTGTTTGGGGAACACTGATGTGGTAAGCCAGGTAGGAAATTCTCCACACCGAAACTTATTCCTTATTTTATAGGAATCATAACTTGTTTTTGTCCCTCACACTTTAATACAGTAAAATGACTGACTTCCTAGTGCTCGTACACATAAGCCGCCATGTCCATTCTTTAATCCCACGGAGATATGATAAAAGGACAAAATCCTACAGGGATCAAATCCTTCAACATGGGATAAGTGGGTGCAGCTACCCACAACATAGAGGTTTGTGGGCCTTGCTTTTACCGAGTGTATCCATCTCAGAACTTTTCTCTTTGTCTGACCAACAACAACAACAAAACAAAACTAACCGAAATGATAAAACTCCATGCCTTGCCTGTTGTCGCAACAATTCCCAGCTCCAAACCCCAGGGTCTTCTCACTCCCCCTCCCCTTCTCTCGGGTCCTTTCCTGCTATCTCCCTTGCCATAACTCAACCAACCCAACAGAACCAGGCAGTTTTAAATTTCAGTTGGGACCTTCGTGACCTGTTAATGAATCTACAGAGAGGAGAAAAACTCACAGTGTTGAGTTATGCCTGGTGTTGCTAGCTGACTTGGAGTCAGAAATGCTTGAAGCGTTAACGTAATTGCAAGAATGTGAAAAATGAAGCGCTGGGCTCCTGAGCAAAGTGAAAGGTCAAAGCGAGCCTCACACACAACAAGTCTTTGGAAGATAGCCTCATTAGACCATTAAGTCTGCTTCTCTTTTACCCCCCTCTTTTGTCCAATGGTTAGGGTGTTTTGTTTTTATTAATAGATACATTTCACCCTTTGTGTTATAGCAGTTAGGGGTGGTAGGGAAGGTGGACTCATTCAAAGCTTCCCAGATTTAACCACCCTGAGAAGTCCATCACCGTGACACGGAACCACAATTAAGCCCTTGCCCTGCACATCCACAGGATTCATATACAAGCCATCTCCAAAATGCCTTCCAGTTTGGTTTTCTTATGTACAATCTAACTGCTCTAATAAAGACAGCAGATAAGCCTAAACAGATCCAACTGACAAGTTCTTCCACAATTTACCATCTGATAGTTTTCATTTCTGTATCAGTCACAAATAACCCAGATTCTAATTTGGACCTATTCACAGTGAATGGCATCCTAGAAGACAAGTTTCTTCCTATACTCTTCTAGAATACTAGTAATCCAAAATCTGTGGCCAGAAACTTGGAGAAGTCAAGGCACTCACCCTACATCAACCACCTTCTTTTAAATGCCATATATGACTACAGCTCAGGCTGTTAAACTGTCCTCCACTTGGAAGACTCTCTAATGCTTAAATATTGTGGCCATAAACACAGTCATAATAGAGATGAAATAGACCTAGGAGATCAGACACCATCTAACGTAAAATATTAAAAAGTAAAATCTATACACTTTCCTGGCCTATGTTCAATAATGCATCTTCCCTTAAATTATCATTTTAGCTATAGAAGAGTCATCCTTACCAATGTATAATTGCTCTTTATGCAATAGGTGAGTTTTAAATGGTAAAATTTATTCTAAATTACGCTAGGCTTCCTTGTTATCGGCCGTTGACATCCCCCTTGCCCTCTGATTATTCTGATTTTTAGGATTTGTGACAAAAGTCACCATGCCAGCTGACTGGAAATGGGGACAAATGACCTAAGAACTTCAAAATCCATCTTCCCAAGATAAAATTCCCTATAAAATTCACACAGTACTTCTAGAGTTCATAAGAACAGATTCTGGCATTTTATGTGCTTTCAAGGCACCACTGCTTGATTACAGAGAACTCCTACAGTTGATATTACAAACAAAATATCCTGCTTATAGAATAATTCAAACTAGTGCAATAATAGCAGCAAAGTAAGCCTGTCATTCTATTTACTCACACACAGAAGTAAAGTGTAGATAACCAAATTTGTAAAAGAATTGGCAGAACTAATCAATTGTTATTGTAATGTCTACTTAAAGATTAGACATCTCACTTTGACTTTTTTTTTTTCCTAAAGTAATGTAAGTTGAGAGGAAATACTAACATAGCAGCTCTCTAACCTGCCACTCTCCTGTTTACAGGGAGGGAGATGTGCCGATATCATAAAATACTGAAGTTATTTTAGTTATGTCTACTTTGTACAAGGAAAATGCTTGACCTTTTACCTTGTTCACTGCTGTTGTCTCCACTCTGTGAAGCATGGCCCCCACTGGAGGGCCCCGGGGTGCCTGCTGAGTGGGTGGAGGTTGCATCATCGTGATCTCGCCAAGATGCAGGATTCTGATGTTGGGATGCCAAGAGATTTTTCCACAGTTACCATTTCAGCCATAAATGAAGAAACAAGAGGAAAGGTGCAGAGGGAGACAAAAAATGTATACATATTAGTATTTGTGGAACTAGGCATATAAAGATGCCATACTACGGTATGTTGTCTTTTCAGCGATTGGTACCAAAAGTAAGAAAAGATGCTCCAGAATCTTTATGAGGTGATGGTTAGTTACATCAGTGTCTACATGTGTTTAAACTAATTGAAACAGATTAAAAGGGGTGCATTGCATTATACACAAATTATACCTCAATAAAGTTAATTTCTAAAGTTAGGGAAAAAAGCTTTTTACAAATCTAGAAGTCATTTCTACTCTTGCTGTCTTAATTGGGGCATACTCTTCCAAGAAAGAGGCCAATACACTTGGATACTAATTACAGAACATCTACAAAACTCAATGACTCCTTTAAAAAAAAAAAAAAAAACAAATCAAAAACCACAGATCCAAGAAAGTACAGGGCGGCCCTTTGCGTCTTTCAGGTGCATTGACCTAGACCAACCTGAATGAACTCCGAAAATTACCAACTGATTATATAACCAACAGACAGAGTGATATCAATGAACAAAATGAAGCAACTATGAACAGTCAGCCATCTGGTAAACTGGACGGGACTTCCATGTGAGCTCCATGGAAGCTCTCAATTCACAGGGCAGTGCTTTTTTCCTGGAAGTATGACTTGTTTCAGAGGACATGCGAGGCAAACTGAGAAATTATAGCTCATGCTATGCTGAGTGTATTCTTCTCCTGTTCCTCCTCCCCTTTCCTGATCGTTCCCAATCCCCTGCTGTTGCTTAAAGGAAAACAGGAATTCTAATGTACAGGAAGGACTTTATCAGCACCACATGAAGGCAGGCAAGAGATGGAATTTCCTCTGGCAGAAACGGGGAGTAGGAACCGCACATGAAACAGACCAGCTTAAGGCCAGAACTGTACACTTGTCACCTGCATGTGATGACTTCAACTAGAGCCCAAAGATCTCCTGGCAAGCAAATTCTTACGGGAGGTGGGGCAGGGAGAGTCTTTGGGGGCAAAACGAAGTAACAACATCAATCTCTCAAAGTACAAGATTTCTCCTCACAAGAATTGGTAAATAAGGATTTTGACATGCCTATGGGCAACATGCAAACATCTTGACCATCTGAAAGCAATCTTGCCATGTTGTCATTACATATAGTTTATCCAGAAAAAAAAAAGTCTTTCATTTTCTTCTACATCAACTCTATTGTATATACAGAATATAAAATTTTATCAAAATAAAATCAAAAACCATGGTGAGACAAAATAAGGGACTATTCTTATTTGGAACAACAACAACCAAAAACAACCTTCCCCCCCCCCCACAGGGTCCGCTACAAACTGACTACTAATTAATATCTAGCATTTTTGAGAGATGATGAAATGACCCAAAGCTCTATAGATCAGTAATATCTGTATCAAATAATGCTACTGGCACTGCCATCAGGCTAGCAACTGATTCAAAGGGAAAACCCGAAGCAGAAATCTTGTGACTCTAAGTACAGCACAGGTTTAGATCTCCAAAGGTTATGTTTTAGAAAGGAGATTAGGGAACGGAGTCAAATAAAATGAAAATCAAGGTTCTGTGCTGCCTCTATTAAGACAAAGTCATGCCTGTGATTTCTCTTTTTATCTAAGTTAGAAACCACTCCAAGAGTTTCAAGCTAAAGGCAAACAGAATACAGGGGCTCTTCAAGCTTTGCAGCCTCTTCGCGTCAGCTGTTTGCCGGATGCTAATCAGATAAAGAGCTAGAAGAATTACGTGAAAGAAAGGAAAGAAAGAAAAAGAAAGAAAGAAAAAGGAAGGAAGGAAAGAAGGAAGGAAGGAAGGAAGGAAGGAAGGAAGGAAGGAAGGAAGGAAGGAAGGAAGGAAGGAAGGAAGGAAGGAAGGAAGGAAGGAAGAAAAAGAAAGAAAGAAAAAGAAAGAATAGCATGGCATGAGTTTAGTCCTACAATAACACTGGCTAGAGCCTTCTTTCAGAAAATGAAATAACTGAACCACATTCACCTAGGCTAAACTTTTCAGTGTATACAGCAAGTGATGTTAATTTTATGCACTGCAGGCTTTTTATTAAACAGGCTGCTGTAAAAGCTCCTTATCCCTCATGAAAATTACAATAATTAACTACTAACATCTCAACTATGTTTTAAGGTAAATGTCATCCAACAACTATTATATAATCATTCAAATGAAGCAAGTCTTTCTATTTGGGCACTAGAGTGACTTGAAGCGACTGCTCAAAAGGACTTTCTGCAACTGAAAATACTGGTTTGTCCCTCTCAGTCAAACCTGTACTGAGTTTTTTAAAGACAGACCTCATTAATTTACAATTTAGTGTACTTCTTTCAGTGGTTTTCTGGAGGGGGGGTTCTAAACTAAAGGGGTAAAAAATAAGCCACATAAACAAATATTACTTTAAAAGCAACTGATTCCTGTGAGGTGGATCTTTGGTTTTCAGCCGTCCTAAAATTTGCTCCTGTTCACTATATAACATACCATGCCCCTGTCTCTTCTCTCTTCTCCTCCACATCCTCAAAAATGCTGTCCCCAACAAGTGTCATAAGATGTTTATTTCCACAGAGTGTCTCAAGTATTATGACCTTGTTTGAGAGATTGACACAAACTAAGGAGTAACCCTGGCATTCATCTAACTTGAAAGTAGGAAAAACAGATGGATCTCTCTGGGGCTTCAGGGCTGAGGAGTTACCCCAAAGTTGTTCCTATCCAGCTAGACCATGCTGACTCAATCATATACAAAGACAAATGCTGATAATCTGGTCAATAAAAAATTGCTACCTTCCTAGTCATAAAAAATTACAACCTACATGGGTAGATAAAATATAATCCCTTACCCATAACGCTGGGCTTTTTTTCTTAGACTGAAATATTTGTTTGTATCACAACCTCTTTCTTCTTTTTTTTTTTTTCCCCTCCCTAGATAGTTTCCAAGTTTACATCCTTCAAGAATAACTGCCTGGCTTCCTGCCAAATTATATGCAGAAGTTTAGTGTATCATGAAACCAAAGTGGCGTATGAAAGCATGTACAACACATGAGGTATGTAGAAAATAAAGAGAAATGCTCTCCGAGTGCACGTGTGTGGGTGAGCACTCAGGTAGATGCACTGCACTCTATATGTCCTGTTCTTCAACCCAAGTATCCTGAAGACACCCGAGGGCAAGGAGTGAACATGTTTCTATTCCCAATGGCTTTAATAATTGGGAGTCAAATATGGTACTCTTCTTGCTCTTACGTAATTGCGTTAAAGAGCAGTGTTAGCAGGAGAAAAGCAGTGAATACTGAGTGGAACACAATAGAAGGAGATGGAAAATAGATACAAGAAGCTAGGTCTCCAGGGGCAGTATTTTCTATTTGCTGGGCTACAGACTCACAGCTGATAATGCAAGTTGTAATTAATATAAAAGCATGAGACAAGATGGGGAGAGCTTGTAGTGGCGAGACCACAGGAGATCATTCTGCTGCTCTCCTCTGTTTCTCATTTACACACAGCTTTCCCTAGAAAACACAATTCTGCCAGTGTTTTCTCCCTTGAAATTAAAAAAAAAAATGATTTAGCACCATCATTGAATTTTGCTAAATCTAGGAAAGAGCACAGATAGGAAAGGAGTCTCTGGGCATAGGAAGCAAAACATATGCAGGCCTCTTTTGTTGAGGTTGCAGATACGGTGGAAATTGTAACATTTTACACCCCTATGGCATTCCTGTGGGGACCTGCCCATAGGAAAATAGTAAGTCCTGGTGAATTAGTGGTATTGCCCTGTTTAAATGATTCCACAAAATTCATGGTTCTTCCATTGCAAAAAGACAATGGAGTAAAATGTAGGCGCATTTCTAACTAAAAGCAAAACTGAGTGGTGAAGTAAAATGTACTAGGCTTCAAGGAGGAAAGAAAAAGCCACACTACACAAAGTTCTATCTAAAACTCTTCATGACCCCGAGTGAAAAGATGATTCGATTGATGTGGTGTAGGAGAGAGAGCACTGGATTCGAATTAAGATACCAGGGTGCCACCTCTTACAGATCACATGGCCTTAAGCACATGAAGTGATGCACTTCATTTCCCTGGGACTTGCTTCCTCTAGCTCTTTAAAATTAAGAACTTAGGCAAGATAATCCCTAAGGTCACTTCTACTTCTTATTTCTATTATTAAAAACATGCTTTAAAATAAGCATTTGATTTTCCAGAACCTATACAACTAACATGTGATATATAACACCAAGCCAAAATTTTTATATGAACTTGAACAATACAGTAGACTAATTCGGAAAATGTGCTTGTAGGTAGAAAGCAATAGTAAACATATATAAAGATATTTTAACCAGCAAATGAAGCATGCAAAACTAATCTGACTCGATATGTTTAAACAACAAAGGCAAGATATGCTTGCATCAGTACACATAATTAATAGGTAACATATTTCCTATGACTTTATGATGTTTTAGTTCCTAATTAACATTGTGCAGAAGTTATTTTTTAAAATAAGATGAGGACTTCTATCATGAGGTATTCAAGCCCACAAAAGTTAAAAATGTTAATTGTATGGTTTGAAAAAATGTTGGAATTTCAACTTCATTATTCTAAAGTTGACATAAGAACTCAGGAGAACCACACACGCTTTCAGAACATGGACTCACTCTTTAAAAATGTAAATAGAGCTGGGGTCTTTCCCTCATCTCCCTGCTTCCACCCTCTATTGAGCTTTGGGAATTAATATGTGAGTAACTCTCAAAGAAGTGGCAAGTACTCTTGCAAATTCCAAAAATGAATTCCAAAAATTAAAAAGAAAAATGGATTCCTCTATTTAACTCAGAAAAAATAGAAATTTCTTGTTTTGTTGGTATAGCATCACATTATAAAATGTCTCCTATAACTCTGAATTGTGTTGGGATATCCCATAAAACATTCAGTCTGAAAAAAACAGGAAATCAATTTTTAAAGTATCAAAATTTTAATCTGATAGTGAGTGTCAGTAGTTGTCAAGTGTTTGTTTAATTTCATCTCATCACAGTTACACTGAAAACATACTTCAACGGCACAACTGAAGTGATTTAAATAATATAATTATTTTGAATGGGAAATTGACAGAGGAGCTATCAACCTTCTGAAGCTACACAACAGTAACAACAGAAAACCCATGACCCCCGCCATGTTGAGTTGGTAAAAAGAACTCAGAGGTAGAACTTTCCCGGAATGGGTCCCTGGAGACGTTGGATAACACACCACAAAGTCTAATCCTATCCTAGAACTTAAGAAACTATCTGATAAAATAAATCATTTGTATTATTAATGTTATTATCAAATCCCATTATTTCCCCCCTTGATATCCTATAGACCAATCACTTAAACCTATCCCTTTCCTCGCTGCCTAATCCCTGCTAACTTTCCAGGTACTAATAGATTTTACCTCTAGACACTTGCCTGTATTCTGTCAGGGACAAGGTTCTTAACCCATTTTTAGACGCTGTACACAGATAAATAAACTTGACATATTCAGAGATGCAAAAGAAAACAACAGCATGTCTTCAGTTAAATTACACAACATAGCAACATAGAAATTTTTTTTCTTTTATTAATCATATTATCAGAGCTAGTCAATTTTAAAGCACCTGTCATTAACTATTAACAGATGAAGTTGTATTTTCTTCCCTATACTTAATTCATCCAAAAAATTAATAAATAAGACGAGTTCCTTATGAACATTAATTAGAAATAATAACTGTATGCACTTCAGGCAAATAGAGCTTGGCTCAGAGAATGTATTTCAAACAGATATATTTCATTTATCTAATGTTGATCTAAAGATATGTGATATCTTTAAATGTAAACATAAAGATATATTTTATTTGTCTGCACTAGATCTAAAATTATGTAAAGCAGAAAATGTGGATATCACCTATTATTTAGAAATACTATAGACTAGGAAAAGCATGAAAATTCCACAAGAGTTTTCAAGTTGAAAGTTTTTTTTGAAGAATTGGTTTCTTGACATGTTTATTTTAACATAATAAATTTGAATGTCTGGGAAACTTAACACAAATTGCAGCTGGAAAATAGAGTTCTATTTCCTTTCACCATCTTATTTTCTTCTTCCCAATATTCCAAAGAATACTGTAATAGTTGTTTCCCACCTATAACAATTACTCTGATGTTTAATAATATAAAATAAACTATGTTATAATTCAAAAATGTAAGCATTCATTATGAATTTACTAAAAACAACAAAATCGGAGCCAGTGTTGCAATTTTATTTTCTATTTAATTCCAAACCTCCTTCTATCATCATGCCCATCATGTAAATGTCGATAATAAATGAACGAGTTCAGTATCTTTAATGAACATACTGTACAAAAGGTTAGGACACCCGGGTTGTCTTTTTATCAATGTTACATCAGATTATTTACATAAAATTACACAATGTGAAATCAGCATGACAACAGCTGATTTACTGTGTAATAGTATATAAAACTCATTCTTAAAAGCCTGCCAAAAATACTTGCTTTCAAGATATTTGTAGCAATTACTTTCCTTCAGTTTTATTTTGAAATTTTTCCTATAATAGAAGTCTATTTTGGCACCTAATATTTTGTTCCTGACGCTTTTCTCTCTGCTTTCCACTATACAAAATTATGCACTTATTCTTTCTTTTCTCTCTTTCACTATCTCTCTCTCCTTGCCTGATCCTTCCTTAAACACACACACACACACACACACACACACACACACACACACACTGCAGCTTGATACCACTTAATAAGTATAGAGGTGTCTGTGTTTTGGGGGCGTCAAACAGCTGTCACAAACTGTCACCTCCACAAGAGAAACCTTGGCACACAACAAATTAAACTACACTTCTTTTTTAGCTGTCATTATTCATAGCCAATAAGTTGAAATGCTCTCGGCATTTCATGTGCAAATAAAACCATGAGGAAGCGCAGTAGATCAGAATAGTGGGCCAACAGATAAAACAGAGAAAACAACACGCTGTCTCAGTCCTTCTGAAGTGGCTCATCATCACCCCTGCACCAGCGTGCACCAAATGAGATCCAGCCTGGGGCAATGTATTAAATATGCATATCAAAGCAAATGAAAAAATAAACCTGGAGATTCAAATTGGGCACATTTACATGCTGAAAATGTCCCACTCATACCACTTTTCAGGTAGTAGTTCTGGGGTATTTTCCCCTTTTTTGGTGGGGGGGGAGGGTGAAGGGAAGGTGTACTTGCAGAAGAGGCAGACACATAAGAGAATTCATTTTGTAGAGGGATGCTTGGAAATGAATATAACCAATGTACTTCTGGTACAAAAATATCAAAAATGGTGAAAACTCTACAAGGTTTTCTCTCCCCTCCCGCATAAAATTCAAATCTGCAGCAAATCTCGCCATTTCCCACTCGGTGTGCCTGGTGGAACAAATTAGTGCTTCCTTTCAAAACAAATAGCAGGGGGCTAAAGTAAAAATGTTATAGTTCAGATCTCTAGGAAATAAAAGGCTTTAAATTATGATGCCCAATGAGGTGGCAAGCCCTCATGGGTTCAAAATAAATCAGTTGTCATCTTTACTTGATTGGGGGCCTGAAGAAGAGCAACAAATGTTACAGTTGACTCTTTTATCCAAAGCTGATGATTGTTAAATTATTAAAGCGCTATCCTCTTAGGTACCACTTCCTTTTTGAGTGTAATTTAAATATTACAATAGTTTCATAAATTGGCACTGTATATCAGCCAATACTCTGAACAGCCGAGTTTATCTTCTCTCTTCTATGTAAACATCGGCATGTTCTAGTTACGTACATCCACTTGAAAAACAGTTGCCAAGAAACTATTCTAGAAAACCAAGTAGTCGAGACCCCTGGAAATGTCATGAGAAACGTTTTTTGGCTGCAGATAACTGTGAACCTCTCATCCTACAAACCATGTAACTAGATTCCTTCTCATTCCCCCAACATTGCAGGCTGCATTTGAATTGAGAAACAGGAAGCAATGAAAATAAACAAATAAATTACAACAACAACAAATATTTCTAAGGGAGTGTCATGCCTTGTGGACAACAACCACACATCATATAGCCACATATCACCAAGTAAACTTTCCATAGCTGCTTGCTGCAACCTTTTGATTTCAGTTAATACACTCAAATACAAAAGAGCCCCTCAAAGTTCCCCCCATCATGATGGAAAAAGCCAAGAGTAAAGATAGCCACATGAGCTTTCAATGCCATAGTATTTATTCTGTATCAGAACTAGACAACCAAGACTGAGGTTTTCTTTCCTTTTTTTTTTTTTAACTTTTGTTCTTAGGCTGGCTTTCCATACAGTACAAAGGCTCATAATCAAAATTAAAATGACTGCATATTTTCAAAACTTTATTTTGGAGGATGGGGGGAGATAAAGACCCTCACAGAAGGTTTATTCTCAAGGCATCTCAACCCATTCCTCTTAACACCCAGGAATGGGGGGGAGAGCTGGTGGTAATGATAAAAACTGCCTTCAAGCCTCGAAACCTGTTTAACTCCACAAAGTGTAAGTTAATATTTCAGCCAGCAAGTTATTAGACTATAGCCTATATCACTTAGGTTGTAAGCTCAATTGAATATAATCTATAGACACCCTGTCCCCTGCCCCGGGCTTGAGTTCCTATAAATAAACTGCTGTTCACACCCACTCTTTAACCTCCCCACTCTTGCCTTTCCTACCAGCTGCAATCTTTCTTTGCTTCTTTTTCAAATTTTCAGTCCCACTACATATGCTTGCTTTCTCTTTCTTTCTTTCTTTCTTTCTTTCTTTCTTTCTTTCTTTCTTTCTTTTTTTCTTTCTTTCTTTCTCTTTCTTTCTTTCTTTCTTTCTTTCTTTCTTTCTTTCTTTCTTTCTTTCTCTTTTTTCTTTTCTTTTTTTTTTTTTTTAGCATCAGACTCCCTAAATCGGTTCCAAAATAGGATTAAAAACAAAGAATAGAAAGAAATCTCCCATCCTGGCCTGACATACACAGTCACTCCTTACTATATTCTGTCTTCATTCACCAACTGTTTAAGTGTTAAAATTCAACCACGAACCTATGGTTACTCAATCGCAATTCCCTTCAGCTTTCTGTAATACATTGTTAATAACTGTTTCATCAAAGTTACTGTCTTTTATTATGAAGATGCTTCAGGCACTTGGCAATAAGTCCATATACTGACAATAAGTTTCTATAGAGCAAGAGCTCAGAGAATTGTAATGTGTTCACTCCTTCTTTTATTTCTAATGCAATGCAAGATTGCCAATAATTCTCAGGACTGTCATCTCTGTGAGAGACTGGGAAATCGGTCCTCCCTCCCCGGTTCCTCTTGTCTAGTTCTCTCTCTCCCCCACCCTGTCCAGCTAGCTGACTTGCCCCTCTGTCCAGGCTGCACTGATTACACAGAGCTGAGAAAGCAGAAAAGGCAGCAGTCACCATATCAAACAGACAATTTGCTAACACTCAAGCCACCAAATCCAGGAAACTTTACACATTAAGAGCACAAATCACTCTATCAACTCCCTGGTTTCTTTGGTTCTCCACATAAATAAGGAGAGGGGCCAGGAAAGGGCAAACGAAGATGAAGGGTATGGCAGAGGTAGTGACAAAGGGAGAAAAGACCCCCAAAGAGACCAGATCATTTAAAAAGAAAACTAAGTTTAAGCTTAGCTAAATGTTACAACAAGTTTTTTTTTTTTTTTTTTTTTTTAATGCTTTACCCAGTGGTCTCAAAAGAATGCCAAAGGGCTCTCAGACTTACATGGTCAGCGAGATTTGTAGAGGAGCCTGAAAGTTCTTCATGATCTGACTTGGAGCTGCCGTCTCTTTCATCAATGACAAGGTCGATGGGCATCTTCCCCTTCAAACAGCTAATGTACCGATGGCAGAAGTTATCACACAGTTCGTGGACCTAAAAGGAGGGTCATGGTGGAGGGTTCAGCTCATATTGTTGTTGTTATTGTTTTGTTTCATTTTTAAAGGGTAAAAAATCAGGTTACAAGGTTACATTTGGAAAGAGCAACAGTGCAATGTCTTCCAAACTAACTCTAATTAATGGGTGTAATACTTGAAGGCAAGGAAACAATAGAGCAATTGTTGCAGCAGATATTATTCTCCAGAGACTTCCCTGAGCAACAAGTTACAATAAAGAGAGAAGAAACAGGACTGGAAATAACTGGGCTCAGACTGGGAGTCCAAGGGGGAAAATCCGATTTGATGATAACATCAAAACGTTAGAACGCTGGAACTGGGAATAGCATTGGCATTTGCGATTCAATAAGCTAAGAGTTTTGCATGTTTCCAGGGGACAGTGATTGAGCTGCAGAGCAATGTAAAGACACCCCAGCGAGGATGATTCCCTCTGCTTGCACCTAATACTCACTCTGGTCTGAGGGTGAGCTAAGCTAATAGAGACGCAAGCAGGCTGAATGTCCAGTAACACAAATGGTTTGCTGCATTTCAAAATAATCCTGAATGCCTGGGGGAGAGGCGCGAGGGGGTGGGACAGGGGAGCAGGCAGGGCTGTCCTAATTCACCCATCCTCTGAGCCCCTGGGTTGAGCAGCAATTCGAAGGAAGGACATGGTAACAAGTTGCTCAAAGCCTCCAGGTGCTCAATCCCTCAGACTGGAAGTTTTGTTAAAGACATCCCAACTCAACTGAGAAAGGAAAGTGGCTAAATCAAAATGGGGAGTGTCATTTCCTGCTTACCTTTTCTAACTCCAAAAGATGAAACCTTAGTACTTGTATTGCTTGTATCATCTGAAAGAAAAGTTTAAGAGTGTGGAGTTAAGGCTCTGTGACTCAGAAGTCCTGAGTTGGGGGTGGGGGGTGGTGGTGAGGGAACTGAGCTGAGGAGAAGACGCCGGCAAGTGGCCAGGCAAAACCCACACATCAAGAAATCGTCAGAAAAACCAAGTGATTACTGATCATCTCTGCCTCATTGGCCACGGGGTAGGAATCTGACTCAACCTGAGCCGAAGCATCTAATATCTTTGCCCCCTGTGTTCACTGAGCTATTTGTAAGGACTGCTTTCCTAGGGCCAGGCCTTCTTTCTCCGCCTGAGTCTTTAACCGTCCCCTCTCTCGACCTCAGGCCAAATTAAAAAAAAAAAAATCCGCTTCTTCGGAGAGAGAAAGCTTTTTAGAACAGCACACCCTGCGAAATCCGTCCTTACTGAAGAAGGAAATACTCAAGATGAATGGTGAAGCAAGGCCTTTGAAAGCGGATTTAAGTACTTTTAATATTGAAATTGTGCAAATTAGCAAAAGAATCGCACCTAAAAGTGGCCTGCGCCCGCCTGCCCCATACCTCCCTCCCCCCATCTCCCCGCCCGCCCTCCGCTGCTGCTGCGCCCGCGGTTACTTCCTTCGGGTGAGCTGCCGGGGGTTCGGCTGCCTACCCTGGCAAACAGAGGAAATAACTCACTTCTCGCAGCCTCGCTCCCGGGGCGAGACCTGGGACTCATCCCCTGCTCACACTCTGGGCGCTGTGTCCCCGCCTGCTGCTCCCTGGCCTCCACTTTCCCTGACGTCCATTCCACCCCTCACCTCCCATCGCCCTTGCAGGGGCTCTAAGCTGTTCCCTCTTCCTCCCTGTCGCTCTTGAGCTTCAAAAGAGGGCTCTGCTCCAACTCCCCGGAGCTCCAGGGGGGAAAGTGGGTGCTTCTAGGCAAGGTGGGGTGGGGTGGAGGAGCAGGCTGGGGAGAGGCAAGAAACGGTGAGCCTTACCAAATTGTCCAGCTCTGGATTTGAGGAAAAAAGTGGCTTTTCAGCGCGAACCTGTAAGAAGCAGGGAAAGTCAACATGAATGACCGCCCCAACTTAAAAGAAGAAAAACGCTGTCACGGACTAAACCATCTGAATGGGTACGGTGGAAGGGCAGTGGCGGAGAAGAGGAGAGGGGCTTTCGTAAAATACACGAACCAAACTAATGCCTTAAATTAGTGGGTTCGGTTGAAAAAGTACTGGGGCCTTCCACTCCTAGCCCCATTAGGGGGCACCTGGAACTGCTAAGCTGTTGCTGGGAACTCAGGGCCGTTCTCTGGGCCTGAGTACCCCCTCATCCAGCTGTCTAAGGGGCTGTGGCTCTCAGCCTCCCTCACCTTAGCGCCCTGCGTAGACCGCCCTATGAGGCGCCCAGCTTCCTTCCCTCCCAGGCACTCTCGGGTCCCTCACAGCCCCTATCCCCAATACTTGTTCAAGTAGCTTCAGGCGGGGGAAAAGGCCAAGCCCCAGATTAGGAGCAGGTCAACTTTAATTCGAGGGTCGAGCCCCTGTATTCCTGGCTGGGGGGAAAAACAAACACCCATATTTATCTCCGCTTCCAATTCGCCTCCAGGCTCAGGGATGGGGAGGAGGCAAAGAGCACGGACTGGGCCAGAGGAACAGATCGGGTGTCCCGGCCTTTTCCTCCTCTTTCATGTAAAGCTCGGAGGAAAGGGGAGGAGGAGTGAGGGTCTGCAGGAGGGTGAGTGGGTCAAGAAGGTTGGACCTGCTTGGCGAAGACCGCGATGTCCTCATTGAAGGAGTCGGAGGAGCAGACGTCTCCGCCGGCCACTCCGGGTTCCCGGGGAGTGCAGGTCGCCAGCTCGCACTTCTCAAAGACCAGAGCTAACAGAGGAAACAACGGGTGCCTAACGGGCAGCGCCACGCAGAGACACACACACGGAGACGGGGTGCAGAGGGGAAGGAGCAAGAACTGTAATCAACAAGTTTGGAGGGTTCGGATTCCTTCTTTAATAAAACAGGCACGCATCACACTTTACAACCCTTCCTTAGCCAGCCGAGCCTGGGCCAGAAACAGAAAGGAAAAACGGCCTGGCCCTTTCCCTCAGCTCAGGAGTCCCTCGGATCTAGTCGGAGAAGCCCCTGGCCACTTCAGCCCGCCAAGTAAGAAAAGCCTCAGTTGTAAGTAATGAAACATCCAAGCAGCTCAGGCAGTCTGGAGCCCGGAGTTGATCCAGACCCAATCCCCACACTTACAGAGGCCGCGGAACCAACCCCCTGATACCCAGCCCTGACCTCTCAAGAAAGGAACACTCTCTGAAATTAAAAAAAAAAAAATGCTTTAACTCTCCATATTAATGGTTATTTCGAAGGAGGCCGAAGGCTTCACTATATATATAATATATATATATATATAATATATATATATAATATATATATATATCCGAAGTGATATTTCCTAAACCTAAATCGGAGAGAGTGCTCTTCCAACCTCTTCACCCCCTTGCCTTATAAACTTGTTTGCTTTACTTCTAGTAAAGCCCGTGTGTGGGGGCCAAAATAATAGGAATGTTAAACGCCCAAGAGCTTCCTTCCAAAGACCACATTTCTCCAGCAGGCAAAAATAAATAAATCGAGTGTTAAAACTTGGAAGTGTGCGTGCGCGTCTGCCCTTTGTGTTCCTCCGGGCGGCTTAGCTACACTTCGGGATGCTTGCGGCCTCTGGCTTCAGGCTCAGTTGCCGTTTACCAACCGTCCCCTCCCCTCGGCAAACCGCCGCCTTCCCCACCTCCTCTCAACTGGGAGAGCACCAGTGGTACACTTTTGGACCGTGCACCTCCAACCCTCTCCGAGTTCCCTCAGAACATAAAATATGGAATTTCCAGCCATCTCCCTCACTCCTCCTAAGAGCAGCTAGCTCTATGCAAGCCACAGTCCCTTCCACCCCGCTGCACTTCAAGGTCTACCCCTTTATTTACAGAGAATTAAGAAGTGGGTGATTAGGACTTCCTGGCCGACAGAAGCAGCCCTGATCCTAGCTCAAGCTGCATTTAGTGACTCCCAGACTCTCGGTAGGAAACAGAAGAGGAAAAACAAAACAAAACAAAAACAAAAACAAACCAAAAAAAAAAAAAAAAAACCCAAAGTTGCTCCTCATCGGCAGGAAACTTTCTCCTTCGTCAAGGCCTCTGTTAGGGGGGCCTGGAAGGACCAGTTCTGCGTCCTTTGGCCAGGAATCCCGTCCTTGGGGAGAAGGCCCTGGCAAGATTCTCAAGACTCAGTCACTCTGGGCTGTGGGGTCCGGAGTGACCGGGCCATGGGGGTGGAGGAAGCTTTATCTTTCGGGGACTTACACTTAAGGCGAAGAAGAGCAGGCCCCCTTCTCTGTCCTTTCTGAAGGCAAGCGGTTCCCACCCCCCTCCCCCGCAGAAATAACTCCCCACTTAGTCGACCATCCCCTCAACCCCCACAGAGACGAACACACACTCGCACTCACAAACAGTATGCCGGGTCGGGAGGAGGGGGGTTGGTTTACCCATAGATCGCGTCCTTGTCCCGCTTCAAGGCGTCGTTGACAGCGGATCCCATGCTGGCCGGCATGACATTGGGGTGCGGGGCGTGCGCGCCGTAGTGCTGCGTGGCGTGGAGCGGCGGCCCGTGGTTCAGGTGGTGAACCGGGGGAATCGGCCGCGGCGCATGAGGGTCTCCGTACATGGAAGCAGGCACCCCTACTCCGTCCATCCCGCCGTAATGGGGCAGCTCATCGTACTGTCGGAACCCGGCAAGGGGGAGGGGGGCACGGGAGGTGAGGGAGAGCCGAGGGGGAAGAGAAAAAGAAGATGGGAGAAAAAAGCAAGGAGAGAAGTGAGAAAAGGAATAGAGGTGGGGGGGAGCAGGGGAGAAAGACGAAGGGAAGAGGGAGCAGGCAGGGGGGAGAGAGAGAGAGAGAGAGAGAGAGGGAGAAATAAAAACAAAGTCAGAAAGGAGAAAAGTACCGAGCACGAGTTGAACACACAGAAACCAAACAAGCCGAAACAACGAGTTGAAAGTTGCGGGGGGAAATGTTTTTAAAATTTAAAATGAAAAAGTATGAACCAAGAGCAGCGTTTAGAGTAGGGAGAGGAGGGCAGTGAGGCCAGGGACTGAGGGGGCGCCGGGAGGTCCCGCTCGGGCCGGAGGCAGCAGAACCGTAGCGAGCCAACCGAGGGAGAAGTGGAGTTAGTGTGAGGAGGAAGCCCAGGATCCCACCCCTAACCCCCCTTCACCTCCTCCCGAGGATCCAATAAATCAAAAGGCGAAATGAAACAAAATAAAGAGAAGAAAAACGCTAATAATCAGGAGGAGAACGCCGAGGACGAGGGAATACTGGGGCCAGTGCCTCCCCGGGGGCAGGGAGCGGAGGGGAGGGGGGAATAACGTGAAAGTTACCAGAAACATTATTTAGCAGCGGATTCCCTGCGTCCTTGTCAATTTCAGAGACAAAACAAGCAGCCCAGGCTAGTCTAGGCGGCGGCGCAGCGGCTGCGGCAGCGCGGCCCCAGCGGCGGCCCCGGCGGCGGCGGCGGCTCCTACGCAGCCCGTGCCCGCCCCGAGCCGCGGGAGCAGCGGCGGCAGCGGCGCAGCAGCGGCAGCGGCGGCAGCAGGAGAACCGGGGGAATCGCGCTGCTGGGGTAAAAGCTGGAGCGAGGCGAAAGCGTGTAACAATTGCACACGCACACACACCACTCACACGCACTCGCCGCCCGCCCGCTCGCACAGCGCTGGAACACGCGCGCCCAGACACGCACACACGCACGCACACACACACTCGCACACACGCAGAGGCACGGGGGGGAAAGCCGATGAATAATTTTGCTGCTATTTTTTTAAATACTGGCCGCCATCATCAAGCAGCGAGCAGCAGCAGCGTTGAAGGGAGAGAAGGCATCGGGACAGGCCCCTCTTAGGAGAGGATTTATATCTAGGTAAGTGTTGGAGATTTAAACCTACCCTTTGCGCCATCAGTCTGCGCTCCAATAAACTCCTGGATGTGTCGTATATTTAATATCCCAGTCCGGATAAGAAAGTGATCTAGGCTGAAGATTCCTTTTTTTTTTTCCAAACCAAAAAGACTTCTCCCAATTCTCCAATATGTTATTTTTAGGGGAAAAAAAAAAAGCCCAGGCAAGACAACGAAGAGTTTTTTTTTTTTCTGTGATATTTCTTCTTTTTCTCTTTTTTCCTCTTCTTCCTCCTCCTCCTGATCTTCCTCCTCCTCCTCCACCTCCTCCTCCTCCCCCCTCCCCTCCTCCTCCTTTTCGGTCCTCCTTTCCCCCTCTTTCTCTTCTCTTCCCCTCAGTTGGAAAAAAAAAAAAAAGAAAGAAAAGAAAAAGAAGAAAAAGAAGAAAAAAAATTGTCAAGCCCCCGAACTGAAGGTTACGAGCGGCCCGTCAGCAGCCCACATGTAACCGAACTGTCGTGTTTCATGGCTTTTTGCCACTCCAGCTGTCAATCAAAGCCCGGAATGTCAAGGTAGTGAATGAATGATGGTTGATGATGATGAAGAGGAGGAATCTTTCAGACCCGTTTTTTTTCTTCCAGTAAAACTCCGCGAGGGGTTTCTGCTTCTTGAATTTTTTCCTCCCCCCTCCCCCCCTCTTTTAGCTTGGCCCCCGCGGTATCTATAATATGATCCTCTCTCTTTAAAGTATCGTTCAAAGAAAGCAGAGGGGAAAAATCAAGAAAAAAATGAATAGTTTGCAAAAATTGGACTTCCTCCCCCCCTTTCCTGGTAGGTATTTTGTCTCTCCCTCTCTCTCTTTCTCGCTCGCTCGCTCTCACTCGCGCTCGCTCTCTCGCGCTCGCTCTCTCGCGCTCTCTTTCTCTCTCTGGGAGATGAGTGAGTGTCAGTAGGTGTTGGCAGGTTGGCTGCTGCCTGGCTTATAGAAGAGCCTCAGTTTGGCGGCGCGGGTCGGCGGCGGGAGAACGAAATGACGGAACCCGGAAGTCGTGGTGGCCATAGCCCGTCGTACGGCGGAGACACATCCCGGGAGTGGGGAGCGGGAGCGAGGAGGAGCGCGCCGCGCCGAGCCTCTGATATGCAGCGAGTGCGATCGGACGGCCCCGACTGGGGGGGCGGGGGAGGAGGGGGTGGGGGGGAGGGGAGGTAGGAGCCTGGCAGACCCGAGCAAATCAGCGAGCCTGCTGCTCAGCGGGGACGGCCGGGGAGGGGGGCGGCGGGGGGGGGGATGGAGGGGGGGCAGCCGGAGGGAGAGGAGTGAGTGTGTGTGTGTGTGTGTGTGTGTGTGTGTGGTGCGCGCGCATGAACGGGGGCGCGCGTATGAGGGCGGGCGCGCGCGAGCGAGGAAAGAGGGAGAGAATGAAGAGGACAGGGAGAGCGCAGAGAGGAAAACTGCAGGAAACCACAGGGAAAGTACGGTACAGACTCAGATCTTATATTTTTTTTTGCAAACTTAACTTCTAGTTCATTTTCTCATTACACCGGGCTCAAGCCTAATGGGGTCGTGTCGGGGACGTTTGGCATGGCGCTCTTGCTTTTGTTCCTTTTAATTTCGCGGGCCCCCACTCCTCTGCCAGCCTATTACTGCGCCCCTGAAGGCTTTCTGCTAACATCCAGGGGCAGCAGGCTCTGCAAACCGTACTACTGCGGAGCTATAGTTGTTGTTTTTTTTTGCAAGCGGTACTTTCTTCCCTGTGCACATCCAGCACCCTTGTTGTCAACATTTAATTTTTCCAGGACAAGAAGAGATCAGCTTAACTCAGACAGCACTCTCTCCTAGCGGTGTGGACAGGGCCACCCTGGAGAGTCTCTGGGGGCCGCGGTGGAATTGGGAGGGAGGAAGTGGAGAGGAGTCGTTTGGGTGTTTGATGTTGTCTGATGTCGCCAAAAGGGTGTGTGTGTGTGTGTGTGTGTGTGTGCGCGCGCGCGCCTCTAGTGTGCGCCTCCGAAGTGGTTCTCACTTGGAGCTGGGAAGCACGGGAGAGAGAGGGAGGGAGAGAGATAAGATGCCTTGCAAGGAGAATTGGCCGGTATTCCCTGCCCACCTTTGTTGTGGTGGTCCAGAGTGCAGAGGCCGGAGCGTGGTAACGCCAGCTAACGGTTGTGTTAATTGTACCGGGCAATTCCGCGGCATGGGGAAGACGGGCCGACTCCGAATGAACTTTTCCAAAAAGGAAAAGGAGAGTGGGGTGGGGAGGAAGGTAAATATCCTACATGGTTTGTGTAGAAAGTAGTTCTGGCCGGCGTCTCACTCAATCCCTGGTGGGAGCTGCACCCAGCCTCACCTCTACGCCGAGGGTTTCCCGGTGGCCATGCGTCAATCACTCCGAGCCTGGAGCTGGGGGCGGAGTTATGGTCACCCTGCGCGCGCGGCGCAGCTGCCCCCTCTGGCCCCCGGCTCCCGCCTGCCCAGCAGTCCGGCCCTGCGTGCTCCGAGAGCACCCTCTCTCCCTAGCTCCTCGCTCTTGTCCGGTTCATGGTCCCTGGCCCAGAGAATCGAAAACAGACTGTTCAACAGCCGATTGCCTCTCCAACTTTGAATTCTTACTGGAGAGTAGAAAGTAGGGTATTCTCTGAGCGCGACTTTGACCCGACTTCCCGGGGGATGGGAAACACAAGGAAAATAAAGTGGTGTGTGTGTGTGTGTGTGTGTGTGTGAGAGAGAGAGAGAGAGAGAGAGAGAGACGCGCAGATGAGCTTGGGGCGCGCGCGGCGGGGGGGGGGGGGGGCTTTCCATCTTCTCTGCTTCACTGTAAGCTTTCAGGCAACACTCAACTGAGCTTAGATCGCAGCCTGCTGAGACTCCAAGCTAAGTCGGAGAAATTTGGCCCCGTTTTAATAGGGCTGGGGAATGAGCTCCGGAGGTCAATAAAGCCCTCCAAAAATAATGAATGATTGAGCACCTGTGATGATGATAGTGATTACCAGAGCAATTAAACAGTTTGATTAAATGAGCCATCATAACAATGATGTCTGCGGGAAATCGGCCCTCACATATAAAGATAGTGCGGAGGGGCTGGCAGAAGCGAGGGTAGGGCGACGCCAGGGAGCGGGGCTGCGGACTGCGAGGTCTTTGCCCATTTGACCAGAGCAGGGACGGCCGGGCACTCGGAGCTTCGGAGAGGAGAGTCTAGACCAGACTTCCAGCACTTTCACGCCGGGCTTCAAGCCTGTATGATCCAACGGGTATGAAACGGGCAGGTTGTGGGGAGGGTCCGTCCCCTTCCTATTTTTTCCCTAGAAGAACTCCAAGATTAAAAGCATCCTCCTTATTTGTTGCTGAGTTTCTCGTCGACATTTAAGAAAAGGTGAGTAGAAAAGGAAAGAAGACGCAAAAGTAAAAAAGTTGTCTTGCAGAATTTTATTTCAAGCGGCAGTTACGTGAATTCAGTTTAGCCGGGGTGGGAAGGATGAGAGAAAGATAACAGTCTGGTCTCGCCTGCGGAGCGTTTTCTGCTAGAGATCTTGAAATCTGGATCCGAGTTCCCAGTTCAGCGCCGCTAGCTGAGAAGTTTATAGTGATTTTTAGTTTTTATTCTTCCAGTTGTTCATATTTTCAATATTGCGTATGTATTGTCGCCAATAGGGTTATTGTTGTTTTAAATAGCCTGTATAGTAAGTGCCAATTACTTCTCTTTTAAAAAAGAAATTCGGTTTCCTTGATAAACGCTCCTTTTGTAGAAGATCAACTTCGAATCAAACCTCTACATTGCAGAGTTTAAACATGCAACGTTTCTACCTTCTGCTGCTTTTACCACCGCTTTTTTTCATAGTGGTACTGTGAAGTGAGTTAGCATCCCCCACAGCATTTATTTAGGAAAACTTCACTAGTATTAAAAAATACATAAACTTCTTACATGGAAGTGCATCCGAGTAAAAACAATTCAAAGCGATTGATGATTTCTGTATTTTCAAACAGTTGTTAAACTAATAATAGGTTGATAATTCCATAACAATCTTGGGTTTTACAAAAGAAAAAAAAAAGCTTAAACTTGATTTTCATGTGTTTTAATCATTTTAACCTGAACTCCTTTCTTACTTTCTAATATTCTGTAACTTCTTCTGCATTGTATTGAATACATTAAAGCAAACTACAGGGACAATCTGGTTGATGTAGGAGGGAGAGAGAAATAGGACATTTTAAGATAGAGTCAAAGAAAAAAAAACACACCAGAATCATCTTTAACTCCAGAGACTTCAGTTAAGAAGTGCGTTAAAAATGAAGCCCTAATGGAGGAAAATCTGCATCATTTAAAAATTCACCAATTGCCTAAGGGGAGAACCCCGAATTTCACGCAACTTAAGAGATTTCACTTACCTAGTTGCATGTCATTTATGAAACTGCAAATGTAAAATAGCATCGCAGTGCAGATTACACACAAGATCAAGTTGGAGGTGATTCAGGGTGTCGGTTCTTGGCCAATCTGATGAATTAAAAAATTATTACTTTTAATCACCAACTTGCTGATGTTTTATTAACAGAGCTGAAAAACATTTAAGAACTTCCGGATCTCCCCCAACCTCCTCCAATTTTGCCAGTCCGATAGAAGCGATTCCAAAGCGGTGGGGTACACACACTTTCTGATTTCTAGCCTGATATTACGTTCCTGATGCTCCGGTCTCAGCCTCTGCACCCCCATCCAGGCTGCGAGGCTCATCTGTTCTTCCACATTTGGGGTGAAGGAAAAGTAGGTGGGGCAGGCCCAAGAGACAGGCACGAGATGGGGGTCGCAGGAGGCGGCACACACCTCCGTCAACAGTCAGTTCCTTTTGCCCAGGCTGGAAATGGTTTTAACAGGCGGTAAAATTTCATCTTGCGGTGTCAAATTGGGGTCATTTTGGGGTTAGAGTTCTCAGTGTCCGAGAGGAGCTGTCCAGCTGCGTGGGGACTCATTAACTGCAAAAGATCTGTTTCAGTAAAAACAATTCAAAGACAATCAGAAGGCTAAAGACCCTCTACAAATCGCATTTTACAAGTGCCCCAGAACAAATATGGATGCTGAAACCTATTTTTCTTCAGAATCCCAAATCTGCTACTTAGCTTTGGAGTGGGGGTGGGGCACTGCATAAAAAAAGAGGTGAAAGGGAGGGGACCTGATCGGGTGGGGGTGAATAGGAAGGGGGGGATGGGGGCCTCTCAAATTTAAGAGTCTAGTCTGTTTTTAATCACTTCTTTCTTATTGAAGCATCCCTAAGACTTCTGAGAACTGCTTCTTTTCTTTTTCTCCTTTTCTTTTTTGTTTCAACATGGAATGCTATTATAGGTAACAT